GTTTACAAATCATAAGTCTCAAATACATTTTCAATCAAAATGAGTTAATTTGAGACAGAGAAGGTGGTTAGAGCTCATTAAGGATTATGACTTGGACATACAATATCATCCTGAAAAGGAAAATATAGTTATAGATGCACTTAGCAGAAAAACTCTTGGAAATGCAAATTGGCTAATCACCCAGCAAGAGCAGATAATCAAGGATATGGAAAAGTTAAATATTTCAGTAATCAATCAGAAATAGATTAAAGATATGTTCTTAAATCAGCTAGTAATCTAATTTACTTTGAAAGATAGAGTGCTCAATGCATTGCCTCAAGATGAAAAATTTTAGGTTATCATAAAGAAAGTGCAAGCAGAATAATTAAAGAATTTTGAAGTTGATGGAGAGGAATTATTAAAGTACAAGGGCAGAATCTGTGTTCCTAATATTGGAAATTTAAGGAAAAAATATTAAAAGAAGCTCATCTCTCAACTTATGAAATTCATCCAAGCAATACCATGATGTATCAAGAACTGAGAGTGTTATTTTGGTGGCCAGGACTAAAGAGAAATGTTGCAAAATTTGAAGCAAAATGTATTCCCTATCAGATGATTAAAGCAGAACATCAAAAGCCAAGTGGTCAACTACAACCTTTACCTATACCTGAGTGGAAATAAGAAGACATCGCAATGGATTTTGTAATTAGATTACCCAAGTCACGGTAGAGTCGAGATACAATATGGGTTGTTATTGACAGATTAACTAAGTTAACTCATTTCTTACCAATCAGGTAGATAGATTCAGTAAAGAAATTGGCAAAATTATATGTTGATGAAATTGTGAGATTGCATGGAATTCCAAAATCTATTGTTTCAGATAGAGATGCCCGTTTCACTTCTAAATTGTGGAAGAAAATTCAGGAAGCTATGGGCACACAATTGACCTTCAGTACATCATTTCATTCTTAGACAGATGGGCAATCAGAAATGACAATTCAGACTTTGGAGTATTTATTGAGATTATGTGTTTTAAATTTTGGAGGAAATTGGGAGACTCACATACCGTTGATTGAATTTGCTTACAATAATAGTTTTCAAGCTAGCATTGGAATGGCACCCTACGAGGCTCTTTATCAAAGAAAATGCATAACACCCTTGTATTGGGTAGAAATTGGTGAAAGAAATGTAATTGGAATTGAACTGGTAGATGAGGCTACTAGCAAAATCAGATTAATCAGAGATAGACTAAAGACAAATCAAGACAGCCAATGAAAATATTATGATGCAAAGCACCGACCAGTGGAATTTGAGGTGGGAGAATTTGTTTTCTTAAAAGTCAGCCTAATGAAAAGTGTTCAAAGGTTTGGAAAGACGAAAAAATTGAGCCCAATATTCATAGGTCCTTATGAAATCATTGAAAAGATTGAAAATATGGCATACAGATTGGATCTACCAGTGCATATGCAAGGAGCTCATAATGTATTTCATATATCAGTACTTTAGAAGTATGTCTCAGATGATTCCAAAAGAATACAATCTAAATCAATTGAATTGCAGCCTGATTTGAAATAACTGAAAAACCTGAACGAATATTGGATTATGATATGAAACAAATGAGGAATAAGACAATACCTTTTGTGAAGATTTTATGGAAGCACGGATAAGAACGAGATGCCACTTGGTAGAGAGAAACAGAAATGAAAAGTCAATATCCTCATCTCTTTAACTAAGGTATGCTTCCTTTTATTTGATTTAATTTCGAGGATGAAATTTTTAAAGGAAGGGAGATTGTGATGGCCGATTCATTCGGCCAGTTCGGTCGAACCGACCGAACCCCCTCCATATTAATCGTGAACAGACATTCGCGAAACAGGAGTTCACGAACAGGGAGAGAAGCAGAAGGTCGCTGCGTGCGGGAGAGCGAGGTAGATTAGTTTTTTTTCCAATTTTAGCAATTGATCGTGTTAAAGGATGAGAGTAATCAACTCCTTTTCATTTCCACAGTTAAAGGAGAGAGAAATTTGGGAGAAGTTTCAACGAGCGAGAGGAACGACGATGAAAAGAGCGAAAAGGTTTGGTTTGCAAATTTTTTTGTATAAATTATTTCCTAATTATTTCTCTAATCACTAGAAATATTAATTTAGAGATAAAAGAAGGAATCGAAGGCAAGGGAAAGGAATTTTGGGAGAGAATGATTTAGGGATTTTGAGAAAATCTCCATTTTCCTTTGTAAGTGACTCTCCTATTATACAAATTTATTTCAATTTTATTATGAAAGCACATTTTTATAGAAGTTATATTTTGGGAAAGTTGTAGGAACTCGAAGTTGAGGTTGCTCCAAGGATTAATGTGGGTAATTATATGTGTAAAATTTTATTATTTTATTTTCATTATAAATCTGGAAATAATAGTTCATATAATTATTTGATTCTTTTGGAGAATTTCTAATGCGTTGATTGAAAATGATTGAAGCTTTAAGAATAAGAAAGTGTAAATGTGTGAAAGAAAATAAATAGAAAGAAATTGAAAATTGAAAATGAAAAGCATATATAAAGTATGGATAAATCATAGATATAGATATAGATATAGATATATATATATATTATATGATACATGTATACAATTATAAGAATGTAAGCAGATAACAAAATGAATTAACAAAGGAAAAGGAAAAAGATTATGCATACAAAGAGTACAGGAGTTCACCCCCGTATGGTACTGGCTGGGAAAACAACGTACCCATGCACGTTAAAAGGGAAAAGACAATGAAAATAAAAAAGTAAATGGAAATGGTTGTACCTTGGGTACATTGAGACGGTGCTCCTGTATGAATTAAAAAGGAAAAAGGAATATAGATTAAAAGAAATTTTATGAATGAATATGATTTATCGTATATGATGGAAAATGTATGATGAGATATATTTAAATGGAAAAAATGAAAGGAAATGAATAAAGTAAAAGTACACCACTGTAAAGATTAAATTTTATTGTATCTTAGTGAATTTTATGCATTGTAAGTGAAGATGAGAATTACCCACTAAGTTTACACTATAAACTCAACCCATCCTCCTAATGTTTCAAGTAAGCTTTCAGTGAATTAAAAATGGCCGAAAGGGAAGAATTTGTCTACAGAAGGCAACGTGCAAATGACAACAGGTAATTTATGATTTGTGTATTAGTGGCTCTTCAGTTAATATAAAAGTTTATGTGATGAGTTATTATTATTGATGGAAATGTAATATCGTCCGACTTTTCGTACCCGCCTCATTAGATCGAGCATTCGGGCCGGGTCGTGACATCAGAAGTCATTAGGGCAATTTTGTATAGCAACACGCTTGCCAAAAATTATGCTCATCATCATTTTCAACTTAGTCATGCGCTAATGACTTTTCTAAATTCGGTGTCTTGAGCACATATGTATGATCTACTTCATGATCGAATAAAGCTTTGAGCCATTTTGATAGCAATCAAGGTGTTCAGATGCTCGTGATAAGTGACATTTATATAAAGGTCAACATCCTCCATGGAGTTGAAGAGCCCGGACATCATTAACACATTATTAGCATCCTAAGTTGAATAGAGAGGGGATATGTTGGATTAGATTTCCTTATGGTACCAATATATTAGCTAGTTTTTCATCTCGCGCGTACAATAAGTTGGACTAAACCTGACCATTGGAAGAGAAATCCAACATTTTGTTTGTAATAAGTAATCAGGAGTGGTGAGTGATCCACGGAAGAGAATAGATAAATGATCTGGCTTGATAAGGAGGAAGATAAACCATCCTTCTTTCCATCCTCGCTTACTGAGGTTGAGGCATGTGTTAAGATATGCTTGTAGGAAACAAGAGACTCCTTTAATTTAATTTCAGCGCTTTGCAAAATAGAACTTGAGAAGAACTTAGAAGGAAAACCAGAATCGATCTTCTTTAATTGATAATAGATGAAGAAAGACAACAAGATACAATGGATCTTCTATTGGAGAGGAAGATCTGTCTCTCCCAAGTTTCTAGTGGCCGCTAGAGTCCAAGCAAAAACCAAGAACCAGGAAATTACAGCAAAAACAGAGATTAAAAAAAAACTTAAGCATACAAAATTAGGTCAAATCCCAAAACAGCCCTTTCTATTTGAAGACACAAGAACAGAGCAATATTTGGAAGGCATCTGTTGTAATTGAAATAATAAATTAGGAAAGATCAAGGAACAAATTAAGCATTATTATAGCAGTAAATATAAGAGATTCCAGTTGGACGATCATACTATTCCAGGAAACCAAGTAAACATCTACTCAATGTTTTTTCTTGTAGGATTCGATGTTTTGGGAATGTATGACAGAAAATCAGCTAGCAACAAAACCTTTTTAAATGCAATCCATAGACAGCACGCAACCAATTAATATTTACAAAAATCAATTTACATGCTGCAGGAAGCAACTTTCCTAAATGTATTCCACGGAAAACAAGCAGCCAACTAATCTCTCTTGAACATAGTTTATAGGGAAGTTGGAAGTAACCTGTCTTCAGGGTTCAACAATCATAAATGAGGCAGTGTCAAAATAAAGTATAAACAAGTAAATGGTTTGAAAATGTGAGTCATAATTATCTTATAAGTGCTAGCAAATTGGAAAGATCAAATGGCTTCAATTCATAATTCCCTTCAGTTAACCTATTTTGCATACGAAAACCAGCTTCATGCACCCTCTCAAAATACAACATTTGCAAATGGTCATGTACCCATATGCACGCAACTATCAATAAAATTTTAAATTATATAATCCAGTAAAAAAGTTTCTGAATTCAGACATGCTAGCAAGCGTATTTTATATAATTATAGATTCCATACATTTTATATTTTGCATGAGAGCAAATATATTAGGATAAGTATGCACCCAATTGACATTTTTGAAATTGATACAATCTATTTGAACACATACGACTAGGAAAAAAATGCCTCAGGAACCAGTAGAAATAAACCTGACAAAACAATAAAAAAACAGTGCTAGGTGAAGAATTTACACACAAGATGGTAAAATTTGTAGGGGAATCGGAAGATTTTGTGATACTTGTCAGCAAGTTATTCTGGAAGTCACTGCAAGAAAGGCACAAAGCATTAACCATTTTTTCAGACAAAAAAAACTCTAAAAAGAAATGCATGCCCGATTTCATACAAAATGCGACTTTTATTTCCAGTAGAAGTCATATTCTGCCAGATAGAAGACGGAACTGATCCACTCAATCTATTGTTGCTGAGTGATCTGAAAAAAGAACATTGTTAATTGTTATAATATCAATGTTACTTCGGATTAGGTAAATTAGGTTACCTACAAGCGTGAGCATCATATTTCAAAGAATAATTGGTAATTAAAATGACGTTCACTAGCATTGTCATGTTCAGAATCACTGGATAAAAAGATTGACCGACAAAATTTTGGATTACTTACAATAACTGGAGAAGTGGTAGACCAGATAAATTTGAAGGGATGGACCCTTGAAGTTTGTTCCTTCCTAGTTTACTAAAAATTACAGAAAGAAAGCAAATACACATATCAATGTCTACGAACCAACCTTAAAATTGCTTTAGTTAACAATACTCATATTCAAATCTATATTGGCAAATAGCCTCTGTTACATAGTTGACCAGATAAAGATTTTGCATACATGGTAGTAACATTTTCTGAGAGCCTTTTGGAAGGAATTGATCCCGCCAAATTATTCCAGCTAAGATCACTAGAAAAGCAGGCAGGTTGAAAAATCATAAGTGAAATGTAATAATAAGCAGGTTTAAGTAGAAAAATGGTAAAATAAGGGAATGGCATACATCCTTCTACAAAATTACCAGGTAGATATTAAACTTCGCAAAACTTACAGATAGGAAAGTTCAGGAGCTCCACTCAAATCAGGGATAAATCCTTGCAAGCTGCAGTTTCTAAGACTCCTGTAAAAGAATGACAGCAGAAATTGGAAGAACTCTTAAAGCATAAATCCTGATTTAACCCCATTATACTATCTGAAGATAAAAAAATTGTAGAAAATATCAACACCGCACTAGGAAACTCTCATAAAGATGAGTTCATAACCAATGGACGAGTAGATTAATGAAATAAATTTAAAACATACGGACAACTAAGTTTTCTCTTTCACTTGAAATTGAGCTAAAACCACTACAAAAAGTAATTCGTAAGGTTCTTTACTGTATTTTAAAATAAGTTTTTGGTTTAGTTAAGTAATTGATTAAGTCCTTTAATTTGTTTTAAAATAAATTTTTGGTTTAGTGAAGCATGAGATTCTAATAATACAACAGTGTCAACAAAATATTTTCAAATGACTTAGGTAGCATCCAGGAATCATGACAGGAGCCGAATTTCTTTTTTTGAGCCGAATTTCGGAATCATGACAGGAGAATGAAGTACGTAAAAAACATGAACATTGTAAGAGTTGCTACTACTATTGTCATATTGTGTCATTACTATGCCCAAAAATGAAATCCTACTGCACTGATATTCAAAAGTATGCATGCAGGCATTGTTTATGAGCCTAAACAGGTATTTTGGTTTGTCCAAAGATTCCAAATTTATCGGGTTGATGAATTCCAGATTTTCTAATCAGCTGAGGTATTCCAAACTGATCATGTGAATCAGTGAATGGAAGTCAATTCACAAACATGTCTATAGAAATAAAGAACCATGAGTCTAAAAAAATATTAGCTAAAAAGTATCGCTGTAGATTTCCATGATGGTCATGTATATGAAAAAACAAGTAATTACATGGTAAGGTTTTGTTTGGGACGGCTTTTTTATTGCTTCTTAAAGCAATTTTTAATACGAAAATTAAAATTTTTGTACTATAAAACTGCTTTAAGAAGCAGTAAGAAAACCGTCCCAAACGAAACCTAAAATTTATAAGAGAAAGCTGCCGGAGGTTGTCTTGAATTGACATAATAATAGCCTGATAAATTGAAAAAAAGATAGCTAGGACCCCATAAACGTTTTATTATTTTGTTAAACATAATGAGCTTCTGCAGCCATTCTTTCAAGCCAAGGTGCAGTTACGTTAAGCAACGCTTGGTTTTGATCAAACCACCGACATTCATATAGTTAAATATCAAAGAAAGTGTATATAACAGTGCTTTCTTGTCATCGTAAATTCAAAAAGCTTGGAAATTGTTCAAGGAAAACTTATCTATTCACAAGCGAACAGGAAATGTAAAATAACTAAAATTCAAGGAATTCATTCCTACAAAGTGAACAATTGAATACCATACTTCCATAAGTGCTCCACCGGCGAAGTTCTTCAGCCCTTGAAAATCTATAGCATATGCCACAAGGAGAAAATGGGGCTTCATCGAGTCAATTGTGGACAGTGAAAAGTCGTTTTCCGTTGTATGCTTTCTATTCCATAAGAGGTGGTAGTGGTAGTTTTTGCCAGCCCAAGGGACCAATGACTGACTGGACATTGTTCTGAGGATAAATAGCGACAAGATAAAGAGAAGCCGATTGAGAGCTCATAAATTGTATCATGACGAACAAAGCAAAGGGGCTGTGCAAGGATGTAGGGGGAAGTGTGCCAGGGATCTTGAGAGTGGGGCCTTGTGAGAGCGGTGAGTGTAAGATGTTATGAGCGGAGCAGTGAAGACGTGCAAGTGGAAAGTAGCGATGAAGGGGCCAAGATCAAGGCATACATCCAAGCTACCAAAGTTGATTACAGCAGTAGGATCGGAAGTGCGTGCAGCAAAGAAGTAACGCGGGTCAGGCTGAGAGAGAGCGCTGAATGGGATTATGAGCGGAATTGGGATTAGGGGTTCCCGAACGATGTCAAAGCTAGCTTCACAGGCAGAGACGGGGAAGACAGCAAGAATCGAGCGGACGAGCGCTGGAACTAGTATGCATGGAGACGGTCGCGCGCGAAGTTGATGCGGATTCTGGGTTCGGGGCAGGATCGTTTATATTAGGTTCTATGACGCTGCAACCTGTGGGGAGGACGAAGCGACGGACGACGCTTAGGTAGACGAATTTTTATTTGATCCGGTCACTCGATGCAGCTCTACATTCGGTTAGTCCTAAACAGGGAATTTTTATTCGGTCCGGTCACCTGATGTAGCTCTACATTTGGTGAGCAGTAAACAGGCGCCACATAGCAGTCCGATAACCCAGAATGACCCGACGGCAACCCATCTTCTTTTGCACATTTTTTGAAATATTTCGGGTCGGCCCGTCGCATTGTATATGAATTGGCGCGAAAAGTAAAAAAATATGCGGCTTGTTTATAAGTATAATAAGCTTTTGGGGTATTAAACCTAAGATGTAATACAGTCTTTAGGGTTCATATACCGCAGGAAAAGAAATCGTGAATGGTTCGAGAAGATGGAAGGTACAAATGTAGTTTTCTCTTTGGAAGACTTCGAAGATTTCGAGGAAACTCCAGGGACGTTTAATGTTGATGAAGCATTTTCTGATTTATTACAAGTAATTCCTTATCTATAATGTTTGATTATTTTTCAAAAAAAATTTGTTGCTTCATTACGGATATAACTTGGTATCAACGTATATGACGATTATGTAAAATCCTGTACCGAGCTGAATCATAAGTAAAGATTAGATTCACTCGGTACAGTTTGACATAACTCGGTACTGATCGGTACTAGTCAGTATTGCTTGATATGAACTATTGCACAAAAGTACCGAGCAAATCAAACATTGGTTGAAGTAGTACCGAGCAAATATATGTGTCGCTCGGTATATATATATGTATCGCTTGATATAAACTCATTATACATTTATACCGAGCAAATACAACATATTAATTCCTATTATCGATCATTCAACCTGCTCCGTATAAGTTCGGTATCGATATGTAGCTATAATACTGAATTGGATGTATGAATCTTTTTTTCACAAGTTGTTTACAACTATGAAAAGGAAGCATATGAAAATATTGTCATTACTTGCATTCACATGGATTTAGTGTTCGGAAAGAGCATCACTCATTCTGGCCAAATTCAAAAAAAATAAAATCAAAAGATTTTGTGTGTTCCAAAGCAGGATTCAAGAAGGAAACTGAGAAGACTACAAATGTTAAATATCGAAAATCATGTCCAAGAACCGGATGTCCAGCCATGGTTAAATTTTCGATGAGTGAAGATGGGATTTGGTTGGTGAATAAAGCTATAGAGAGTCACAATCACGAACTGGCTAGGCTGGATGATCGCTCAGGTCATCTAGGAACATTAGTGATGAGAATGCATCTTTTCTGAAATCTATGTCAGAAGCCGGGATAAGAACTGTTGATGCATTTACATACCTATCTGATGAAGTGGGAGGTGTAGATAATCTCATGTTCATAAAGCGGGATGCATACAACTATATTCATAAAGAAATAAGAGCCAAGATTGAGAATGGAGACATGAATTCACTAATCAAGTTGTTTAAAGAACGGGCAATTGATGACAACATGTTTGCCTGGGATGTGCAAACTGATGAAGATGATAGTTTGTTGAATTTGTTTTGGGTTGATGTGCTTGGTACAATTGATTATGACTGTTTTGGGGACGTTATTATTTTTGATACAAGTTATCATTTAAATAAATATAACTTGGCATGTACCCCTATTGTTAGAGTGAATAATCACTGGCAAAATATTCTATTAGGAGTGGCATTTTTATCTAAGGAGACAATTGAGTCTTTCACATTGCTATTTATAACATTTCTAAGAATTATGGATAACAAACATCCCATTACTATTTTTACTGATCATGACCAAGCCATGGCCAGGACAATAGAGATTGTATTGCCTAATACACAACATCGATTGTGTCAATGACATATGTACAAGAAGGCTCCTTTCAAACTATGGTGCTTTAACAGTAACAACAGAGTAAAATTCCTATTTTATTATTGTTTCAGGCAGTGTGATTCTGTGGAGGAATTTGAGAGAAAGTGGACTGAAAGGATCACAGAAGGGAACCTCTAGAGCCATCAATGGTTGAATGATCTGTACAAAATCAGGGAGAAGTGGTCAACTGCATTCAATAAAAATTGTTTTAACCTTGGCATTTTATCTACCCAACGTAATGAGTCCACCAATCATGTATGTCATGGTTATTCCAAGCCAACAAGTATTATCACTGAGTGTTTCCTAGGTTTGGAAAAGGTGATGAGGACTTGGCATCGAAATGAACAAGATGAAAAATTTAGAAGTAGTCAAATAGATATAGAACCTTATATAAAAAGTAGCTCGATATTAAAGCAAGCTGCCAAATTTTATTCAAGAAAGTTGTACTCATTTTTTAAAGAGGAGTTTTTACATGGACTAGGTCGACTGTACATTGAACATTCTTTGTCGGATTTATCAATGTTTTCTGTAAAAGGTGATGAGGACTTGGCATCGAAATGAACAAGATGAAAAATTTAGAAGTAGTCAAATAGATATAGAACCTTATATAAAAAATAGCTCGATATTAAAGCAAACTGCCAAATTTTATTCAAGAAAGCTGTACTTATTTTTTAAAGAGGAGTTCTTACATGGACTAGGTCGACTGTGCATTGAACATTCTTTGTCGGATTTATCAACGTTTTCTGTAAAGAACATAGACAACTCAACTGAGTCACACAATTGAATTGTCACTTTTAATTCGTCAGAAGGTACCATACAATGCAGCTGTGCAAAGTTCGAAATGATGGGTATATTATATTCTCATTGTATGAGAGTTATGAGACAGTTAGATATTGTTAATATTCCCGTTAAATATTTACTTCCAAGATGGTCAGCCAGAGCTAGAAAAGATTTATATTCTGGAGGGAAAAACCCATGTATCGGTATCAACGCCTGCCAACCTATTAAGGGCTCCAGCAAATTGATGTTCAAAAATTATATTTGCCGATTGCATATAAAATTAGCATATAAGCACAAAAAATGAGGAGGCTGAAATGTGTGTGATAG